CTAAAGCAGCAAAGAACCTAAAGAGATTTCAATTTTTGTTCTATGAATCCGTAAATGGTTCTTATGTTTGATGGGCTCTGGAAGAACATCGTACATATATTTATTTATTGAAGCCCGGTACACTGGGAGCTAGATACGCAGTCTTTATCGATTGTAACGTGAAACTTAGCAGTTCTTTCAGACAAATGATAATAATATCTAAGTAAATTCGCGTTTTAGTTGCCGAAAGAGAACGTCTGAAGATAATAAAATAAAAAATATCAAGTCATCGTAAGACAGGCATACACCAAAGCAGTCCAATACGCTTATAATATCAATGTAAATTTTATGCTGTTAGGTTAAAACAATCATTGTTTGTGAATTTACGATAATAGAGTAAACTTTGTAATCCCTGGAAATTGTTGTTGGTGAGTTTCATTGAATAATGAAGAATTTATCTTGAATACTAATCAAAATCCTGTCCCTCCGGAACAACATAACCAACAGGAGCAACTTACATCATCCTACAGTTATTCATATAAGGATTTTTCAAAACTGGCGTTTTACGGGGAAGCGGTCGAAAAATCGATCCGAAATTAACTGAAAAATTTGCGACCTATAGATTGAACGCAAAAACATAAGACGGACAGAGAAAATTAGATCGATTCAAAAATTGAAAATGGTGTAGAGTATAAAATTGAATGATTGAATATTTGAAAGGATACCCCGTGCAGAAAAAACGGTTGAGAAACAAGCTGACGACGAATCACGACGTCTGCGCAAAACATCAATTTCATCCACTGACCAAAATGTCAAGGATATCATAGATCCTGCATACTCAGCATATTGTTAGTTAAATATTAGAAACTTTGTAGACATGGTTCCAATAATGTTAATTGATAAATTATGTGCAATTTTTATGGCAAAACAATTCCTTTTTGGTTTTTGTTCACCTGATACGTCTTACGTAACACTGATTTTTCTTCTTACGGCTAATGCATTTTTTTTTTTTTTTTTTTGTAGACTCAAAAAAGTGCTATTGAAGAGACTTGCTTCTCCTTGCCAACAACAATGTTCAGGAATTACAAAACGACACTTTAGTTTAAGAAGGTAATAAGTTCAATAATATGATGGTATAAGAACACTTATATACATATTTAAAGCGCACGTATTTTTAAAATAAAATCCCGCATATTTTTTGAATACAGTGAACACCGTCCGTTTTTGTTGTAGTTCCAATTATTAGATGATAGGTGTAAATAAAAAATAGCTTAAGAACAGACTTTTCTTTCCTTTTTCATCAAGTTGCGTAAAAAGAAAATAGAAAACAATTTCTCGAAACCACTAAACTTGCAGTAAGAAATATAGAGCAACATTTGTCAACGGGGCTTAGTCTTATGCAGACAAGTTTTCCGGTCCATAATTCTACATAAGAGAGAAGATATGCCAAGAGAATGCGAAATGTTTGAAACGGCTACAACCGGCACCATCTTCTTCTTGAAAGAGTAAACATCGCAAAAATGAATGAAGATTGAAAAAAACAAAAAAAAAAAAAATAATATAATGAAATTAATTTTAAAAAACTCTTTCAGTTTAGTTATTTCTGGGAAAGCAATGAAAAAAATTGTACTTAAAAGTGAAGCATTTACGTTGTATTGTTTTTCGGATTGGGAGCAGAATAGTTTAAAAACGTTCTCCGATTAGACAATAGTTTGTATTTGATCGAGAGTGATCCCTCTCTCCTTTATATTCTATTCACGCAAATTATTTCATTATATTTTAATGGCTTTAATGGCTGGCTCTTTAATTTTTTGTGTAAAAGTTCTTTAAACGTTCGCTTGCCAGAACTTTGTTTTCCAACAATTTAACTCGTTTTTAAACTTAATTTTAAAAAAAAATTTCAAGAATTATTTAAGTTTTTATTAGATTTGATTTGTTTTGTTTTTTTAAGGAAAATGCTTGTTTTCTTAAAATTTTAATTTTAAAAATAATAAAAGGAAAATATTAAGATTCTAACCGTTTAATTAATTTGAGGACAATTGAAGGAACACCCCTTAAATTGTTTTGGTTTTTTTATTAAAAAAAAACTTGCTTTTTTTCAATAATAACCATTTGGTTTAGAGTACCAGGGCCAACCCGGTAAAGGACCATAGTAATAGCCTTAAAAAAAAGTAAAAAAGAAAAAATTTTTTTTTAAATATTGAAAAAATGATTAAAATAAAATTTAAAAAAGCAAAATAGTAAAAAAAAAAAAAAAAAAAAAAAAAATATATTATATATAAAAAAATAAAATGTATATAAAATAAAGTAAAACGAGAAAAAACATGTATATGCACATATATATATATATATATATATATAAATATATAAATATATAAATATATATATGTATTCTAAATATATCCTAAATGAAAAATATGGAAAATGTGTTAAAAAACTTCGAAAATGGTAACAATAAGATTGAAAAATATAAA